CCTCCCCTCCTGTTTTCCTTTTGCCACTTTCTGTTGCTTTACCTTCTAGAAAGACATCTGCGGTTCGTGATAAACCAACCCCAGCAGCAACACCTATTTTTTTTTCTTTCTTTCTCTCTCTTTTATTTTTCTTCCCTTTAGAAGTTGATCTTAGCAAGCTAGGACCTCTCAAAGAGGGTTAGAGCTGGAGAAAAAGGAGGAAGGGGGTGATTTTGCAGGATAAACGAGGGAGAAGCGGCCGCAAATGTATTTTTTGGTTGCTGTAGTTGCTGGGGAGGTGTGAGAGAAGAGGGGTTCGGTGCGAAGGCTCTGGAGAAACGGTTGCCGTTTGTGGTTAGGGCACGGATGCCTCTTGCTCGAAGGCAGCCCGGGCTGGGGCAGCGGGGAGCCGGCTCTGTGCTGAGCTGGCTCTGCTCTGCTCTGCCCTGCCCGGCTGGGCTCTGCCTCCGCTCTCAGGTGGGCCACCACGGGCGTTAGGGACAAAAAAACTTCCCCCACTAAACCAAAGACGCAACAAAAAAAACCCTCAGCCCTCTGAAAGGAGCTGAGAGGCAGGGGCTGCACCCTCCCGGTTCCCTCCTCCGAGCTGGGGGAGATATCCCACTGCAATAGCCAGGGAGAGGATAAAGAGGTGCCCAAAAAGAAGGAGGGAAAGAACTTAGGAGGCAGGCTTGGGGCTGTTTGCTATCCCAGATAGCCAGGGTGGACCATCAGGCTGCAGATGTGGTGGGGAAACCAGAGCAGCTTCTGAAAGTTTTGGGTGGTGGAAGCTTAATTTCAAATTAATCAATAGCAGATATTGTCAGAGTTGTTATGTATTGGCTGGAGCTGGGGAGGTGTTTTGGGGGTTATCTGTGATTATTTTGGGGGTCCTTGATGTGGTTTGACTGAGGCCAGAGGAAGAGCCCTCCAGGCTCATGAACACCCCTGGGAGCTGGAAGAGTGCTCAAGGAGTGACACTGGGGTCCTCATACACATCAGAAAGGGGCTCATGGACTTAAATTCTGTATCCATTATTTTGGGTGTAGAGGGCTGGAGGCTTCTTGCAAAGGTGCCTATGGAAACTTGGGGTCTCCAGAGTTGTAGAAGCATTGAGGGGAAATTGTCAGCTCCCCCTCTCCACCAAAGAGACCTGTAGGAGGAGTGAGAGCTTCTCTGGGGAGCTCTTGAGCCACCATGGTGCTCGGATTGTCATTGTCACCATCCCTCTTCCCTGCTGCTGGGACACAGGCCTGATGCTGCCTGTGGAATGGTGCTGGGGAGGGGAAGAGGATCAGAGCCCACCAGAGTGTGCCAGAGTGTCCCAAAAAAGGGTCCAAAGCCATCCTTCAGTCATGGCTTTGGACCCTTTTTTTGGAAATCCTGAGCTTGTCGGGGACTGGCAGGGTCTGGCCTGGCTGAGTCTCTGGGGAGGTTGTGGGTTATTTTGGGGAAGGGGGACTTTGCCCAACCCGTTTTATCTCTGCTTTCCCTAAGTGACCCATGTGCTCTCTTGTTTCCAGAAGGCAGGGAGTGTGTAAATTGTGGGGCTACCTCAACCCCTCTGTGGAGAAGGGACGGCACTGGGCACTATTTGTGTAACGCCTGCGGACTCTACCACAAAATGAACGGGCAGAACCGGCCCCTGATCAAACCCAAGAGAAGACTGGTGAGTCTCCCTCTATTTTATTCTTCTTTTTCTGTAGCTTTTGCTTCCTATTTGCAGCTCAGGATGGACAGGGAACCTCAGCCAGCTCCCACTGGTCCCATTGTGTTTGAGGGAGAGTTGGTACCAGTGGCTGTGGGCCTCAGTTGTCTGATCCTCTAGCAAACCTCAAAAGTAGAAAAGCAAACTGCTCTAGCAAACTGCAAACTGCAAAAAAAGGTTTAAAAATCAAGATCCGGGGCTTCCTGAAAACCAGAACTGAGTTTTCAACTCCACGCGGTGCTTCTGGATGGTAACCCAAGGACAGTGACATTTTCCAGGGCCTAAGGGCAGGATAATAATTTCCTAGTGACCAAAGAGATTATCAGGAATACAGGATTTCTCCTGGGCTCTCCAAACTTCTGCCCTCCACTCTTTAGTGTGTTTCTATCCTCCTTGGCTGGTGGTGTCATGGAAAAGGGACCCACACTGGATCTCAGGTGTCACTGGGGTGTCACTGCTCCTGCAAAGAGCTGGAACCTTCAGCTCCTGGTGCCACTGGTACCTGGTGTGGTCATTTATGTCTCTGCCATCTGGGTGTCAAATGGTGTCACCAGGACACAAGGCAGAGAGGATGGTGAGTGTGCAAAGCCAAGCATGTGCCCAGGCTACAGAAGCTGGAGGAAGATGAAATGAGTGGGTAAATGTTTGAAATAATAGTTACAAGACTGGTGACTGTTCTAAGCCCAGGCAATGCGTTACAGCATCCCCAGCGATCTGCTCATGCATTTCCCTGGAAGCCACAAAAAGGTCTGGAAGCTGTGGGCTAATAAATGTGTTAAAGTGTATTTGGCAAATAATCAGGCAGACCACAAGGGGAAAAAATATATTGAATGGGGGAAAAAAATTATGGTCCCTGCTTGGGAAGTTATTGAATGTTTCGAATCGAGGCACATTTGGTTTTGTCAGGATTAAAGATGTGGAAGGAAGATGAGGAGGAAAGGTGGCTCTTGCCTCTCTGTGGAATTTCTGAGCTGATCCATGGATCTGGTCAGTTTGGTGAGGCTTGTGCTCAGCATGGCCTGACCCCACAGGCAGGACAGGGCTGGTTAATTTGTGTTCTCCTTGAAGGTTCTCACAGCCCTTAGGTTGGGATCAGCTTCCTCACCTGTGAGACACCCATAAAATCGTATCAGCTTTGTTCCCTCTGGCTCTGGGAAGCATTTGCAGGGTACATTCCCAGGAAGGGCTGAGCTGTGAGGGGCATCAGCAATAACTCTGTCTGGCCGTGTGAGTTTTGGGGAAGATGTGGCTTTGCTCCTCTAGCCCGCCAAACTTCCTGCGTGTGAAACCTCTCCGTGCCCTCCTGTACGCGCTTTTCCCATATAGGAAAAAGTTTGTCTCTCTCATCTTTCATAGCCTTGTTAGAAAAGAGGAAAAGCTTTCTAGGGAGGGAAGTACAGGCTGGAATTTTGATTTTTTTGGGCAGCTCTCTTGTTCTCTTCTCCTCCTCCCCCCCGGCCCTTCTGTCTTAAACACACAGCCCTCGTTTTCTTTATTTTTTTTTTCCTCGTTCTCTCTCTATGTGTAAAGTTAACTTCCTAGGAAAAAGCTGCCGGATATCTGAGCCCTGGAGATAACTCCTAAACAACAGCTCCGTTTCCCCAGTCCAAACACACAGGAGCTTGAGCATATCCAAACAAGCAGAGGGGGAGGCAGAATAGGAAAGCGGCTGGAGAGAGGGGGAGAGCTTTCAAAAAGTGTCTGATGGAACCACGAAAGAATGTCCCAAGTCACCCTGAGCCCGGCACATGTAAAATGAACTATATAAATAAATACATAGTAAAAGGTCATTCTTGGGGGAAAAAAAAAGAAAAAAAAGAGGAAGAAAGAAAAGAAGTAAAGGGAGACCTTGTCTTGCATTATCGTTCCAATCTTTGGGCATTTTAGTTAAAGTTACAAAAAGTTCCCCTTCTTTAAATGTGGCCTTTGCTAAATGTGAAATTTGATTTTTCTACTTCCTCCCATCCCCCAGTTCCAGCACTGCCTGGGAAAAAGAAAAAAAACCAAAACATCCCTAATGCTGTTTGCACCTGTATTTATTTCCCTTGCTAACCTCTGAAAAAAAAAATTAGTCAGAAGGCACCAGAGCTGGGCTTGCATTTGCGCTTTCTGTGCCTGGATGTGGACGTGCATGTAGCTGTGGCTTGACTGGATCTCTCCTGCTGTGAAGGCAGACGGGCTGTGGATGGAGGCTGAGGGTGGGGATCCAGCTCCTTCCTCTGCCAAAAGGTTCCTGCGTGACCTCGGGCTGGTTTCATGGGCTCTGATCACAGCTGCACTGAAACTAATGATAGGATTTGATGGGTGGAGAGAGGAGGCAAAGAAGTTCTTAGATGCTGAGAACCCAGCCCAAGCCTTGTTAAATTCAATGGGTGTCTTCGTGAGGTGTACTTTAGGTGACAGGGATGAAGTCTTGCTGGCTGAGGGGGCTCAGACAGCTCTGCTTCATCTCAAGGGGGAAGGTGGAAGACCTGGAGATGTTGGCAGGGGAATCAAGAACAGGCAGGTGGTACCACACCATCACTGCCTAAAAAGTCTTCAGCCCTCCTGGAGGCCATTCCTGTCCCTGTCACAGGCAGTGGCAGCCCCATTGCTGCTGAGATAAAATCTTCCTTTAGTTTTTCTCCCATTCCCATGCAGATGCAGAGCTCTCAGTTTCCACGTCAAGCCAAGCTGGTTTTGGAAGGATTATAACCAATTTCTCAGCAGGCCCATACACACGCAATCTTATTTTAGGAAAATGATGCTTGGAGCTTTGTGGGTAAATGCAGACACTGAAAATGCCCCTTAATTAAGCATCTTTATTAGCACTTGGTTCCTCCAACCTCCTCAATTTCACCTTTTCATCACTGTTAGCGCTTCTGAAGTTGTTCCTTTGCTCACCGGCAGCTGTGCCATGGGCTGTGCTCTTGTGGATGATATGGGGCAGCTAATTAGTCATCCCATGACTGCCATGGCCAGGCCCCTAGTCGTTGATGAGCGTCAGTGGATGCCGTTGCTGGGAGCTTTACAATAGTGTTATTATTCATTGTTTCCTGCCCGCTGCCTGTGTCTCCGGTAGAAGTTGGTACAGCATAAAAGGTGCCTGCGACCGAAAGAGCTTAAAATACTCAGCTAATGATGCTGAATTTTTGCAAGTGAAACACAGTAGGTGGAAATAGTTTAAGAGAAGACAGTAGCTGTTGTGATTTATTTGCTTATTTAATGTCAGAATTTGTTTGAAGGCGGCGAGGTGGTGACCAGGCGTGTCTTTTGAACGCGCTCGCTGTAGGAGAAATTACAGCGAGCGCTGCGTAGAAACCCCAAATATCTTCAAAGGGGATGTTTCCCCTGTGTGGGCTGAGCCAAATATCACTGGTTTTTAGAAATTTCCTTAGGCTTGATTTTTGGGTCTGATAAAGGCAAAGCAGCCACCAAGAGATTCAATCCAGCCTCGTGCCCCTCCAAGCCCTGCGCGCTGAATGTCAGGAGTTGGAGGGCAGAGAGCTGCAGACTCTTCTCCAGCTCTTTAGTGAGAACCTGGCTTTACAAGCTCCATTTTTGTCTCCTTGCTGCCTTTGAACACATTCATTATTTCATTATCCTGGTGATTTTGAAGGCAGCCCAGTTTGGGTCCATGTCGTGGTCAGGAGGTGTGCGTGCATCAGTTCGGGGCTCTGCTCTTCACGGTGGGATGTTTCATCTTCTCTGCTGGCCCTGGGATTCTTTTAAGTCCCATATGCTGTCCTCAGCTCCTGCTTGTCACCAGCGCAGAGAAGTCAGCTAAAGGCCTCCTTGGGACTGGCTTGGTTCAGAATGGTTTATGGTCAGGCAAAATGGAACTATCCCTACGGGCAGCTTGAGAGAGCCACTCGCTGTCAGATCAGCCACTCTGTGATGCTTCCCAGTGCTCATGGGCATTGTCTTATTTATTTTTTAGACAGTCCTTTTTGTCTAATTAAAAGAAAAAAAAATCCTCCTCTATCTAAAGCAAAACCAACCCGTCCTCTCTCCACCTACGCCACATTCAATTATGATTAAAATTGCAACATGACCTAACAAGAGCTGGTATTAACGCTAAGGCTGTGCCAGTGTCCATGTTTGCATTTTGGGTTTGTTGTACGGTATCCAAAGATGTGGTATTTTCTTTCTTTCTTTTTTTTTTAAATGTTGGATGTGCTACAGTGTGCGGCTGTGTGGGGTGAGGGGTAAATTTGAAACAGTAAGAGCACAAAAGAGAGCATTAAAGGCTCAGTTCTGCAAGGTGCCAAGCATTGCTATGATCTGGCAAATCGCTTAAGCACATGTTTTAACTTTAAGCACATGAGCAGTTCCATTGAAAGCAACGCATCGGGATGAAATCAGAGCTCTGGGACCATGTCATATTGATGAAGAATAGATAGGATGGGGATCTAAAGGTCTTTTTTTTTTAGGAGCTGTAGGCATTTGCGCATAGGCAAGCACGCATACGCGCTCACATAGCAGTCTGAAAGCTCCTGTTCCTCCTTCAGAGGCAGAAGCACAATTTGTTTGCTAAAGTTACAGTTTTTAAATGATAAGTACGAATTTATGCATGTGAAAGAAGAGCAACTTTACTAAGTTTGACTTTGCTAAGTCATTATCACAGCTAACAAAAAAATCTTCCGTATACACTTTGCCACGTAGATTTTTTTTCTTGTTCCTACCCCTTTATGAAACGGTAAATTCTTCTTTCAGGCTTGTTACCAATCCTTAAATAAACATGAAGGTTTGGGCTGAGAAAAGGGTGTAATTAAAAAGTTGGGATTCTTGCTCCTTGCCACGGTGTTATTTCCGATCTGGAGCCTGTCTCCTTTGAAGCTGAGCTGAGCTTACGGGACCGGGCTGTGCTTGCGGTCGGGCCCGGCGAGCAGCTGCCCACCCTGGTCTCTTGCTGGAGCCGGAGTGACTCACGCCCTTGACTCCAGCAATTGTCAGTTCAGGCCCTGACTGCAGAATTAGACCCCTGGGGGGTCTGGGAGAATTAAGATGGAAAAACATGTTGGCATTTAAATAACATTTTCCCCTCTGGAATGGGCTGTGCCAGTGCTGCTAATTTTGATGAGTTCTATCACAGGTTTAGCACTCACTTTTTAGGATGCCCTTTGGCACCTGATTCAGTTCACATATAATTTGGGATTAAAGTACCTTGGGGATTTTTTTTCACAATTATTATTTGTTCTCACAAGTCAGTTTCTGGAGGCCTCTGCTGATGCGTGTCAGTCTTGCAGGGTTGATGTTTTCTTTCTCAGAAATTTTGCTGATCGCATTTTTAATTTTTTTTTTAACACGGGTGTTTTTCTCGTCCTCTCCTTCTCTTTCCCTCCTTCCCACAGTCTGCAGCCAGGAGGGCGGGCACGTCCTGTGCAAACTGTCAGACCACCACTACCACCCTGTGGAGGAGAAATGCCAACGGCGATCCTGTCTGTAATGCCTGTGGGCTCTACTACAAGCTGCACAATGTAAGTGTGACTGGAATACTCAAAAATGGGGCCTCAGCTTTGGTGCTCAATGATCCAAACTCTTCCTTAACTTGAGGATTTCCAGTCTCGGGCGGTGCCGGGACCTCTGTTATCCCTTTGGGGGCCTTGGGGTTTGGAGCGATGAGCCGTCAGATTTTCAAACGTATCCTATCCAACTTGGGGAGGCATAAAACAAGGCTGTCCATGGGTAATGTTAGAGCTTTTCCTTGCCTGAGCCAAGAAAGGAGGAGTGGGTCAACACAGAGAGACATTATCTGCTGCTGATTGGGCTCAGAGAGTTGGAAAAGACAACACACTGTCCTGCAAGCCGATACCCCTCCTATGCGTAGCTTGGTTCCTCCAGCAAATACAAACTCTGGAGAAAAAGGAATACGTGCCAGAAACTATTTAGATCATTCTTGGGTTTGTGGCTGCCTTTGTCCTGTCCCCAAAGATGATTTATTTAGGCCCTGTGTTTGTGCTGGTTGATGCAAACGAGTCCCAAACCAAAAAAGGACTTGATTTAGTTAGCGGGTTGCAGAGTCTGCTCAACCTGTGATGTGAATTTCAAAGCATCTGTCATGGAAGGGAAGGAGAAATGAAATGAAATGAAATGTAATGGCTGGCAGATTTAATCTAATATCTCCATGCAAAGCCAGCTTGCAGGAACCAGGGATATGTGCCCCAGGGAAAGAGCTAAAGGGACCTGAAAAGTCTTCTACTGAATAATACTGCTAATAAAGGAGACTTAAGGCTACCCCTGCTCCTCTCATTCCACTTGTGGCATTAGAATAATTATTATGTCAAAAGAAGGAAAAGACTTCCAATTTCTCTGCTTTGATATATTTTTTTTTCCACTAGTGGTTGATGGCTTTGTGTTTGGTTTGGAAATCTGTGGCTGTATTTTGCCCTTATGCCCACCCATGGAAACACATCAAAGACGTATCAGGTTTCATGGGGCGTCCAACCCTTGTGGTATCAGTCCCTTCCATTTGGTATTTCAAACTGTTTGGTTTCTTAGGATGAGTAAACAAGTTTGGATTAAGTAGAAAAAACACCCCAACAAACAACCAGGCTAATTTTTCACCTGTTTCATGGGAGGCATCTCTCTTGGAAAAAAGGAAAATGTGTTTACCTTTTAGTGGGCAGGTGTGTCAGCACACTTTGAGTCTGATGTAGCAAGTAAAGCTTGTCATCAAACTCTCAGTGTGATCACTGCAAACACCCTGGGTTGGACCCAGAGTGAAAACTCTCAGAATATCTCGAGAAAATATTCTGTTTGCTATTTCCTTGGCAAGAAGGGATCAAGGTCAGAAAGCTTCACTGAGCGGGGATCTATGCTTGTGCTGTTTCCATTTTGGCCTTGTAGCCACCAGTGGTAGGACTTCAATCAGGTAGTTTTGGAAACCTCTAAGGAGCTGCTCCTCCTGTAGCCAGCAAAGCCCTTTGAAGGAAATAGGCTCTTCTCAGTTGGTGCTGGTGGATGCCTGTGTTTTATTGGAGTGACTTCTACCCTTGAAGACAGCGTAGTTCCTCCTCATGCCTGAAAAGGATGGTAGGATGATGAGTTACGATGTGCCTGTTTCCATTGTAGACATCTGACTGGAGAAATCTCCTCCTGAAATGTTTAGAATGGTGTCTGCGTGCTGAGGTTCTCCAGAAATGTGCCTGCAAGAGGACATCCTTTTCTTTTTTGCACTAACACTGCAAACCTATTTGGCCTGAATTGACCTCTAGATCCAATGTTTAGGGAAATGCCGATCCAGCTGTGAAATCTGTGACATGGGGCAGGCCTTGAGCACATTGGAACCATTTTCATATTAATTAAAAACACCAACAGCTGCTTAAAAGCTCAGCACAGCTACTTACCAAAGTCAAGTAGTATCTTGCCTTATGAGCAACGCCATTAATGGATCCTGCTTAAATGAAACCCCCAGAGGACTGAGCTCCTGTATGCAGCAAAATAACCAGGCAATGATACTAAAATCCAGATATGAGTGGGTAGATCCTTTTAAAAAAATTTTTTCTAAGGTACTTAGCAAATTATTTAGTAAAGTATTTAGTGAAGTATTTACTAAAGTATTTAGTTATGACCGTGGTGTGAAGTGTGGTCTTGCCCCCTGTGTGTATATTATCTTGTGATTTCCATCAGGAGAGGGGTCATCAGAAATAGAGAGGCTGATGGTAGCATGTCCCTCCCCAGCAGCTGTCAGCATGGATATTGTGCCAGTGCCAGTGGAAGGTCTTTGGATGCTTGAAAGTCGACTTAACCCTGTTTCAGGCTAGGCTGCAGCAAATTCCTGTCTGCTGTTTTATCCACCCCCACTCCCCATTTTTTCTTTTCTTAGGGTTTAATGAAATTTTCTGGTACCTTAACATCATTAGGATATTTTAATGGATTGATCTGCAGTTGAAACTTACCCAGATTTTATGTCCACACCAGGAACGATTGCAGTGAAAAGGCAATTTTTTTTTTCCACGGTGTTAATTTTTTCATGGAGCTATATCAGTTTGTTTTACTGTTGATTCCCACAGCTTAAGCAAACCCATTTGTCAGTAGGATATAAGCAATAATCATAATAGTCTTGGGGTGCATTTAGTGAAGCTGTTGGCATTCCTCCCACTGACTTCAACAAGGGCCGGCTACATTAACACCAGTGTTAACAATGACTAATATTTCACATTGATACGGTGCCTTTCATCCCGTGGCATCCCAGAGTGCTTTCTAAGATACAGCCAGCCTGGAAGATTAACCCAACGTTGTAATGACTATGTCTGAAGGATAAATCCACTTCAGTGACAGGACCTTATTGAGGTCAATGGCAAAATCCCATTGTCTTCAGTCAGAGCAAGATCAGGCCTATAATGGTTAAGACTATCCCCTGGATTTGATCTGTTGAATATGAGGTTCTCATTCTTGTTATTTTAGTCCTTAGAAGTGGGATGAGCCTTTGCACACTTCAGGGATGGGTGGGAGTGTACCTTGCTGGAGGTGCACAGCAAGCTGGCCTGAGCCTCTAGAAGTGAAAGATTTGCCATTATTTTTGGTAAAATTCATCAGAAAAGGCCCCTTTCACAATACCCCAAAGCAGGCCTATGTGTCCCAAGAGCAGAGCAGTCAGTATTTTGCATATGATAAAACAAAGAGCATAATTCCTGCCCATAATTAATTGGCTCCATCTGAAATTAATGAATTTCATATACATGCGTTGGGCTGGTTTAATTTTAATTTAGCATGTGTTTGTCATTTTTATCAGAATGAATTTTCACGGAGAAGGTCTTCCCTCCGGGTCTTTCATTTCTCTACCCCAGAAACAGAGATGGGTCCTTGGCTTTGATGTTTTGGGGACCACTTTTACCCTGCTGTGACTGGTCTTTGAAGTCACTGGAAAAAATTTCCAGCTTGCTGCTTTGATTGTGCTGGTTCCTGACATTTATCTGAGTCTTCATCTGTTTGGCTCTCGGGTTAGTTACCTGCTCGGAGTGTGAGACCATTTACAGTGGGATGAGGTGGCCAGACAACAGCTTGGATGGCAGCTCTGTCCCCAGCTGTGGGGCTGGCCGTGGCTTTGTCACCATCCTGACACAGAGCTGGCGCTCGCATCCTTGAGTTTCACATCAAATCGTGGCCTGGGCCATCCTGTTCTTAGAGACTGAGTGAAACAGGAGAGATGTTGCTTTGGGGAAGTGTTCACTGTCCTGTGGGACATGACACCAGGCAAGGGTCAGGACTCTGTGCTTGTTCCAAGCACCAGAACAGCCCCAGTCCCACCACCAGGCTTATGTCACTTTGCCACAACCAGCTGCCAAGCTTGAAACTTTGCTGCTTCAACTGGAGATCGGTTCTGGCTGCCCCTGAGCCCTTGTGTTGTAATACAGATCCTCATTTGAAGCTGGTGGGGCAGGGCCTGTGTGTGCCTCCCCACATCTGAGCTGGATTTGTCAGGGATTGGCACTTCCTGGCCTCCTCTGATGTTGCTGCCTGGTGGGGCTCACCTGGGACTTCTCCCTGCCTTTGAACCTGGGCAACACATCCCTGCTAAAAACTTAAAACAGGCCAGGCAAACTTTCCAATCCCAGTCATTTATTCGGAGCAAAGGGCCATCCTTGTGTGCATCCTCATTCCCTCAGTGAGGACAGAAAGCCAGGGAAGTGGGTTATGTTGTGTTTGGAACCCATAATATTTTAAATTTTGCTTGTTGCTGCCACAGGGCTTTTGTTGGGCTGCTCATGAGTAGATATTTCCTATCTTTAGCTGTTGGCAAGCAGGGCTGCTCTCTCTATCTCCCTTTATCCAGAGGCAGAGGAATCAGCCTTTTATTCACCCATTTTTAGGTGAGGTGAAGGCTGCTGTCACTGCTGGTATAAAGAGGCTGGGGTCACAAAGACTGGAATGACAAACCAGAGATGAGCCAGGTCCTTCTTCTCCCCATAATTCCATCTTTGCATGTAACAGGGAGCTATTTTATCCTGGCCTCCCTGGGGAGAGAAATCCAGGAATGATTCTCATGCTGTGAAAAGGGACCAGAAAGGGGCTGAGGAGCAACAGTGAAACTTTGCTGTGATCTGGAAGAAGGGAATGCTTTTTTCCTCTTGCTGATTTAAGGTCTCATGGAGAAAGGGTTGCTCAGGACCTTTGCAGGGACATCTTTTCATTGTCCTCTACAGTAGGTCCTGGTGGACAGTGGATCCATTTTTTCTCCCTTTTGCAGAATGTCCATCAGCACCATCATGTGCTCACATTTATTATGAGAAATGGTTCAGACTCAGGGTGATTTGCTGCCTTCTGCTAGAGGTGAAATCCTACAGAGGAGCCAGAGCAAGACCCATATTCATTCTCAAACCCAGATTTTTTAGTTTGTTTAGGGGCATTGGAGGCATAAATCCCTTCCCAAGTGTGGTTTGTGGAAGTTTCAATTCACTTGTGCCATGTTGTGATGCTGGCTCTCTATGCAGTACAAAATGACATAATCATGGAATATTGTGAGTTGGAAGAGACCCACTAGAATCATCAAAGTCCAACACCTGGCCCTGAACAAGACAGCTTCAAGTAATAAGAATAATAAGAATTTCTTACAGGGTATCCAACAGAACTTTTGCTATCATTTCCTAACCCTGATGAAGGCATGGATGATAATTTCTGCTGTGTAGTTTCAGGAGGAGAATTTAATGTTCATTTCACCTATGGATACATTTGTATGCATGCAGAAAATGCTTTGCTGGTCAGCACAGATACTTGTTTCAGCCTCCCTAAAAAAAACCTGGAAGCCTTTAGAAATAAAACCAAATTAGCTAAAGAAAACCAGAAAGGATGATCAGAGCAAAATCTTTGGAAAGAAGAAAAACAAGACAAAAACCCCGTGCCTTTTGTGGAGAGTTGCCCAGCTTCCTAATGGAGCTGTGAAAGCCTGAGACCCCTCACAGCACTGAAATCCCGGCAGTTCTTGCTGCTAATGGTTTTAGATCAGACAGGAAGCCTCAGGGTGAGACGGTGTCTGTGGGGAATATTTCCAGGAGGTAATGATTGGTTTCATACCTAAACACAATGCAATTACCTAATGTGCAGATAGTTGAAATTTTTCAGCTGCTGTGAATTATTCGGGTATGTTTTGCTCCTGTGTGGCTCTGCCAGCAATTTTCTGTCATCTTGTCTTCAGAAATTTCAACTGAGCTTGGGATTTCCTGGAGGGATCTGAATTTTGGGATGGAAATGGAGAGGTTGGGTAGCACATGGCGTGTACAGGGGAGGAGGGGGGCTGTGACCAGCTGGTCCTGCTGGGCTGGGGCATGGGGTACACAGATCCCATGGTGATTTGGGGAGAAGGGATGGAAGCACAAAAAAAAATAATTGATTTTTGTTTAGATTAACAGACCCCTGACTATGAAGAAAGAAGGAATTCAGACCAGAAACCGAAAGATGTCTAGCAAATCCAAAAAGTGCAAAAAGGTCCATGACAACCTCGAAGACTTTCCCAAGAGCAGCTCCTTTAACCCTGCAGCCCTCTCCAGACACATGTCCTCCATCAGCCACATTTCACCCTTCAGCCACTCCAGCCACATGCTGACCACACCGACACCGATGCATCCTCCATCCAGCCTCTCCTTCGGACCTCACCACCCCTCCAGCATGGTCACTGCCATGGGTTAGCAAGAGAGCTCCCCTGCTGAATGCTTACAGTCTCAAAATGAGATTTACTTTATATACTTACTTGCATTTTTGCAGGCGTGTGGTTATGGGTCTAACGTCCCGAATCAAATGGGAGAGGGGAAAAAAAAAAAAAGGGTTTAAAAAAATTATTAGGAAAAAAAAAAAAAAAAGGTTATTTGAAGGCGTAAGAGAGAAAAAGAAAAAAAATTAAAAATGCAGAAAAAAACTACAAAAAGCACAAAAAAGGAAAAAAAAAGAAAAAAAGAGAAAAAAGTAAAAAAAAGTTTTAAAAAAGTGATGTTTGCCACTTTTTAAAGGAACTCACTATGGCGTCTATGTATTCTTACCCACTGAATCTGGATACCATTTGTGAATAAGCCATTCAGAACTTGCATTCCCTATTGGACAGGATCTCTAGTGCTGTGAAAAAAATAAAATAAAATAAAATAAAAAATGCTGAACATTGCATATAACTTATATTGTAAGAAATACTGTACATTTGAGGAAGACTTTATCGCATCTGAGGAGCTGTAAAGAAAAAGGCATGAAGGACTCCGAGAGAATTTTTTTTAAAGGAAAAGAAAAAAAAAAAGAAGATGGGAGGACAATTTAAAAACCAGAAAAACAAACAATGCAGACCAAGAGGAAACGCGGTCTTATGAACAAATGGACCAACTGCCAGTCATGTCTTCTCCTTTTATTTTATTTTTATTTTGGTTTTTGTTTTGGTTGGTTTTTATTTTGGTTTCTTTTTTTGTTTTTCTGTTTCCGGGGAGGGGGAGGGGGCTGGCTAGAACGGTTTTGATGATGCATTAACTAACTAACTAACTAAATAACTAAATAAATAAAACCTGTAGGGAGATCATTCATTTTGGGCCACGGGCCCTTTACATAGGAAGTACCAATGGTGTCAGGCAATCAGTGTTAACATGCGGACATTGCCAACAAGGGGGTTTCAGATAGCCATTCTCCAGGTCTCTACGCATTGTGAACAAGTTCCTGTAATTGTTGTTTGTATGTATAATTCAACGCACCAAAATAAGAAAGATGTAGATTTATTTCATCCTATTATACAGACTGAATGGTTGTATAAATTTATTTACTGCTAGTGATAAGACCTGCTCTTTTTTTTTGTTTTGTTTTGTTTTCATATTTTTTCCTCTTTTTTTTTTTTTTTGGAGAATAAACTAGATTAAATTCTGTTGACTTAACAGTGTTCTGTGCTTGGGGGTGGGGAAAGGAATATTTTTCTTCCTTTATTGATTTTTCTTAACATTTGTTTGGATGGTATTTATGACATAGTGACCACGGGTACGGGAATGTCTGTCTCTGCGCTCATGCTGACAGCCAAAGCAATGTTTGCAGTGGCTTGATGATAAAAAAAAGATAAATCACAGAACAAAGGAGGAAAAAAAAAAACCCTCAAAAATAAATGGACTGCATGTTAGTGTAACCCCACTGTCCAGTGTGTGCTCCCTGTCCCTTGAACCCCAGCCCAGCCGCTGCCCCTGTGTGATTTCGGGCTCCCATGTGGGATGGGTCCCTTTGGGTCTCAGGCAACCATGCCCAAACTGGTGTTGAGGACAGTTGGGGGCTGGGATAAGTGCAAAGGTACAGCAGGGTCCTTATGATCGTGGTTGCTTCAGAAAAAAAGTAAATGTTTGGGACAGGAGCTGGGAAAGCACATTCAGCTCTGTCTCACTGGGTACTCAGTGATAGATCAAACAAGAGACAGTCGAGATCTTGATGTGAAATCAGGAGGGAGCAGATCTGCCCTTCTCTTGGAAGGATGGGCAGAATCTATTATGAAAAGCTGGATTTGATGAGAGAAGAAAATTCACAAAAATTCAAAGGCCATTAGCCAGTTCTGTCCTGCAAGAACTCTCTTTGAAACAGCGCAATTTTAATTAATATTACTATTGATAACACCAGGGTTTCATTTCTTATTGTTACATTTCTGGTGATTTAATCCTTAGGAATCCATTCCTCTTTTAGTTCTCAGAGTTTACTCATCCAGCTTCTTTATACTATCACAAGGATTGGGAATTCACCTTCCAAATGAAGGGTTAAACTTCTTATCAAACCACTCCATTTGCTGGAGATTTAAGCTCAGTGTGATAAGGCAGAGGTTACCAAGGCTGTGAGAAAACGCTTGAAAAATCCCAAACAAAAATACAACCCCCAAATGTAGAAAACCTCAACAGACGTGACCTGCAAATTACTTTTATATTTTTAATGCTGGGTGAAATATTTCACCCAGAAATACGTGTACCCCTGCCTTTTGGCGCCAGGTGGATGGAAAAATGTCATCATATCTGTCAGAGCTGTTTGAACCCACTTTGTCTTGGGTGATGCTTGGAGGGAGGGTTAACAGTGGCATGGTCTGATCTGCTGCTGCAGGGTCGCTCACACCACTGAGGGTTTTTCATGTGAGGAATAAAACACCTCAAAACTTTCAGGATGATTATACAGATACAGATAGCTGGTGATTTGGAAATGGGGGAGGCAGGGCAGAGGGTTGACCTTTATTTGGGCTCTTTCTCCTCTCTTTCAAAATTAACTTGGTTAAAGTATTTCCACCATAAAGGAGGATTTGGCAGATGGAAGTGGAACAGGCAGTAATGGTTTTGTGATGTTGTATATTCTTTCCTTTCTTCTCTGTTGACAAAAATATGTAAAAAAAAAAAAGTCAGAACAAATGGTACACATTTAAAATCTTATGTTAATCACCTTTCTGCTTTCTCAATGAATATTTTAAGCATAAAGACTAAATGTTGAAATAAAACAGAGTGAAGAATTACCGAGATGCAAATGGAGATCTTGTTGGCTCCTAATTAATCAGCTGTGAACTATAAAGCTATTTTCAATTAACTTGACAAATCAAAGGAAATAATCATCTTTGCTGATATTAAGCTTGAGAGATTATTATTTTTTAATTCGCAATGCTACAACCTTTCCCTCCTTTTGCTCATCAACAGATTGCAGTTGGACTAAAATATTGATTCCAGGACCTCAACAATGGCAAAAAATTAGAGGAGGATTTGCATGGCAGAATTTTGCAGTCAGCATTTTTTTTTTCCATTTGCTTTAGATGAACTGGCTCCTGAGTTTCTCTCTTTAACTCCTTTTTCCTCAAAAGTTCTTGAAATACCTTCTTGCAGTTTCCTTCTGATGTTGTTTCACAGGTCTTAGGGGCATTGAGTGAAATGAAGCAGGATTGGGGCCAGCTCAGAGACTGAGCATCCTGTAAAGGACACAAATGGAGACACTCTGTCTGCATATACGCTAGGAAATATATACATTTTGTCTAGAGACTTCTTACATCAATTATCTTATATTTCAATGTCAGGAGGAGGATGAACAGAATCCCTAAGATCACATCCCCCCAACTACCACATAAGATGCTAAAGTAACAATAGTGTTCTACCAATTTCTCAATTAATTTTTATTTTTTTAAAATTGTATTCTCTTTGAGCAAATTTTAGTGTCTTGAAGAGTTTTGTTTGTGTGTTTGTGCTTATGCTTTACCTTATCTTTGTTTTGTTTGCTTGGGTGGACTTTTATTCCTTCTTTTCTTCCCTCTGATGGCTAAAATCTGGCTTACAGAACAGGCTGAGAACTGTTGTTCTTGGGCAAACACCTTGTGAATGGCCACTCTGCCTTTCTTCACTGCTGGGATTGCAGGGAAGAGCTGATGATGGGCAGGTTGGAGCAGGATAACCCTCTGAGTCATGGCTCCACTTTGGTAATCTATATTGTGCAGAGAACACCAGGGAAGTCATTAGTGGGGTCAAATCTTGTGGTCTTTTTGCAGGGAAAAATTCCTTTTGGGAATTTGAGTGAGTAATAGCTGCTGTGCTGCTGTGTCTGTGGCAGCTGCATTTTAATCCAAGCAAAACTCCACTGAAATCAGTGGAAAGATTCCTCATGAGCAATGCAATGAGACTTAAATCAAGACATCCTATGCATTATTTTTCAACCTTCTCACCTTGATTTACCCAGCCTACAGAGAAGGAGCCTGAGGAGAGGCCTCATAGCAGTGTACAGCTTCCTCACCCAAAGGGGATGTGCAGTGGCAGGAATGATGTCTCCTCTCTGGTGACCAATGACACGACCTGAGGGCATGGCCTGAAGCTGAGTCAGGGCAGGTTTATGTTGGATTTTAAAAAGTTCTTCACCCAGAGGCTGTTTGAGCACTGGCACAGCCTCCCTGGGGAAATGATCACAGCACCAACCCTGACAGAGCTCAAGGAGTGTTTGGACAATGCCCTCAAGGCACAGGGTGTGACTCCTGGGGCTGGGAGTTGGACTCAATGATTCTTGTGGGTCCCCCCAACTCAGAATATTCCAAGATTTCAGGCTCTCAGTTAAAACTATAGCTCTATTGTTCCCACACTGGTACACACAGTGCACACAGCTGTTGTGATATTGAAGGGATATTTTTAAGATTACCAGCCTCAGTGCTTTGAGGTTGAAAAAATTAGAAATATTGCAATTAGTGCAATCTGCAAACTTTAAATTTTTATTCTGTGTTTTTGAATCACAAGTTAACCTAGGATGCATCTAGACTTGCATTTAGGTTCAGATTAGCAATGTGTTTTTGAAGTGATTTCCTCCAAAGTGGTAGTTCCACCTTGGAGTGAGGAGATTTTACCTTGGCTCATAAAGCATGGTTTCCTTGGATCTCCACCTACGACACTCCTGGCAAGTCAGGCCTCAGAGCCAGAATGAAACTATACTGAAGTTACCCACAAAATATGGTTTTTGAGTCCTCAGCATGGGTTGTTTTCCCCTCTGGAATTACTTGTATTTCTAATGTCCACAGACTCATAGGCCACAAGTTCTCATACTCATTTTTGGTCACTGAGACTCTTGGTTCACTCAAGACTGGTTTTAATCTGGGGAAGAATCAGATGGGTGATGAAGGCACAAGAGGAAACCTGCTTTGTTTTTTGTAAAGCTTAGGGGATGTTTGGGATAACAAACCAAAAGAAGTTCTTATTGATAAAACCCTATAAATCAAGCCTTTAAAATGTCCTATTTACCCCTACTTCTTCTATTTACCCCTTCTATAGAGGTTCTATATGACATTGGAAAACTCAACCCAGTCTTCTCACATGGAAACATACTAAATATGTGATCATCATTAAGATGCCAAATTTCACACCCAGAACTCTGCTTTGTGGGTGCAGAACTCTCAGTGGTATCTAAAACCAGAGAGTCTCATGCCTGTATTTATCCTTCAGAATATAAAATTCTTTAAAAATACTATGTTCACCTCTGAACTGCAAATACAGTAATTAATTTCTTCCACTTCCTCACACCCCTAAATCTGGGGAGAAGGTATGTTATGAGGATAAATCCATCACTTGTGCAGAGTTTGGATGCAAGTTGATGGGCCCCATGGAAAACCCACCAGCTTTGACATGTCTGCAGGACAGCAGGAGGGAGGAGTGACCAAAATGCAGATCCATGGCTCAGGAAAGGCAAAGTCCTCCCTGTGCCCTGGATGAGGCAAAGGCAAAAAAACATGTGTGACTGTCACATGTAGAAAGAACAATAGAGGTGGAAAGAGAGTGAATAATCCAGTCTGGTGTTTCCTAACATTTTGGTGGCTGATCTTTTAATCTTCACACTGTTTTTTTTTTTTTTTAATGCAATTTTTGGTATCATTCTTCTGTAGAAATACACATGTACAGGTGTAGGTGGGTGCTTATTGGTGGCATGGAGTCCATGCCTTGTCACAAAGGAAATTGTGTGTGTGTTGTGCCTGTGCCTAGGTGTGTCTGTACCCAGGGACCTGGAGGCCTCTGTGTCACCTGTCTGTCTGTGCTGGTTCTGTGTGTGCCTGTGTGCATATCTGAGCTACAGCTCTGCAGAAACCAAGGCACAACACAAACGTATAGCAAATTTATACCTGTTTCACACAATTCCCTGAGGCTATGCAGACTCCTGGATGCATGTTGGATCGCTCTATTGTAGAAGTATATTTCCCTTGTTATAAGTTTAAATTAAGGCTTTGACCTGAAGCTCAACTCATTTTTTTTCTCTCAAGGTACAAAACACCTGGTTATTTAACCTGTCCTTTTACATTTCCACTCTGGGTTGCTGTCGACTGCAGAGGCACTGAAATAATTAATGAAAACCTGTCCTCTGGGAAGACAGAAGTGACTGAAATGCTCAGGGAAATTTTGCTTGCAAGCCTCACATGCTGCTGTTCATGTAAACGTGGATAATTAGTGAACCACCTGCATGCCTATTTAGACTTAGCCCATGACCATTTTAATTCCCAATTATTATTGCATTGTAATATTACAGTGCAACTGTTTTTTTCACTTTTTGTTAGAATCACATTAACCTTCTTACGCTTCTTGAGTGGATAACTTTTCCTGCTAAATCACAAATTTTCAGTGCATAACCTGGGGTGGCCCCATGGCTGCAGGTAGCACTGCTGCCGGCAGACCTGCATTTCTTTATTCCAAGTCAGAATACAATCCTTCAGCTCCAGCTCTGCTTTTAATGACACTCCTCCCTGATATTCACCAGTCATAGAGGAGCTTCTCTCAGCTGCAACCATTGTGGAAAATTAGGAAGTCAGAAGGAATGGAGAAGTCACAGCATGGGCTGCTGTGAATGCAGGGGGGTGATGATGACTTGTTTTTGACACTGGTGGTTTGTTCCCCCATATGCCAAGACTGCCCAAAGCTAGGAAGGGTACAGGATTCCTCTCTGCAAGAGGTGAAGTTGCCTCTTTTGCAAAACCTCAAGCCAGTGACAGAAGGTCATCCCCCTTCTCCACGCATGCAGATATGATGGCTGATGAATTTACTTCCTGCAGCGTCACACTGGAGCAGATTTATAGATTCTGTGATAAATTTTAAACTATATTTAGGGACTCTGAGGAAACAGTAATGAATAGATGCAGGTCCTGAACTGTTATTCTTGATTGCAGCTGCTTCATAATAGACTTTTTTTTTTAAAGTATCAGTATGGGACAGGAAGTGGAGGGGAATATAAAATTTTGCTGAGCCCAGAGAAAGGAGGATCCTCAAGTAAGAATTAAACAAGACCCATGGGAAAGCCAAAAATGAGGAAGGAGGGACTGAACATATGATGGATTTCTGAACAGTTACCCAGGGTCTTTCCATTAATAGCAGGCAGGATGTTTTCCTTTATGAAAACCCGATTAAGTTTGTCAGACACTGATAACCTTTCTATAAGGATTTTCCTTCTGTGTACTGGATGCATGGACCTAGAAGGGATATTCTTGCCTATTTATTTCCTAGGGTGACTTTTCCATAAAATCCTGGACATCCAAAAAGAGTTATGCTTCCATCTGCTCTTGCCAACCTCATTTTTATTTAGGAGACCTTTTCCAAAGGGGTCATGGGAGAGGAAGGTGAAAGCCTATGGATTTGATAATGCATATTTGTCCCTGTCATCTCTGCATAGGTACTTCATGGTTGTCATAGAGGAATGGTTGTGTTTTGTTTTGCAGAGCTGTCCTTTTGCATCAAGAAAGGTAAAACCAGGCTCTAGTGGGGACATCTCTCCTTATCACTTCATTGGAAAATTGACTGGGAGTTTTATCACACAAACCTTGGGCAACAAATTCTGCATCTCTGCTCTGAGTTGCTGTTTCAGTGTCCTGTCTCTCAGCTCTTGCCCTTGGAGTGGACAACACCCAGGTGTTCCTTGGCTTCTGGCTTTAGCAGCAGGTCTCAGATTTCACTTGCCTGTGGTGCAGAGAATTTCTGTCCAAACTGTTCCTGACCTGTCTGAGTGGAAGGAGTTGGTCTC